GGGAAGGATCCTAAAGCCCATTTGGTATATAAAGATGGTGAACATGATCAAGATGATCTAATAGAGTATGAAACTTCTGATTGCATAAAAGAATCAAGTTAATAAATCTTACTTCGACATCAAAACCTCTATGTTATTCTTTGCATTTTATGTGTTCATTGATTGTTATTTGCTTGAATTTATTTTATATTATTTTATATTCAGAACATGATTCTTGTCCATATAAGAAATAACTAAGGACAAGAAGATACTTGTGGTTGATAGTGGATCAAGCCACATGATCTTAAAAAGACAAGATATTTTCTAAATCTCATAATGAAAAATGCCAATATTAGCACCATAGCGGGTATAGCTAGTCTTATTGAGGGCCACGGTCAAGCCCATATACTTTTATCAAAGGGCACGCATCTTGAACTAAGCGGTGCCTTGTTTTCACCCAGCTCAAAAAGGAGCTTATTGAGTTTTAAAGATATAAGATTGGATGGTTTCCATATTGAAACAAAGGGTGAAGGGAACAAAGAATTCCTAAATATAATTGAGATCACCAAAGGACATAAGAAAGTCCTAGAGACTATACCCGCATTATCCACTAGTCTCTACTATGCTAAAAATCGATATGATCGAAGCTAATATGGCAATGAACAAAAAATTTCATCGAGAAATTCACTTTATGGCATGACCGGCTTGGCCATCCGGGTCATAGTATGATGCGTAAACTAATAACTAATTCAAAGTGGCACACCCTAAGAGAGAAAAGAGTTATCCCTAAGAATCTCACGTGTGAAGCATGTTCACAAGGGAAACTCATTATAAGGCCATCACCGGCTAAGGTAAATAAAGAGACCTTCAATTTTCTGGAAATGATACAAGGGGATATATGTGGACCAATACACCCACCATGTGGGACGTTTAGATACTTTATGGTCCTCATTGATGCATCGACAAGATGGTCGCATGTTTGTTTATTATCCTCTAGAAACCAAGCATTTGCTAGGTTGTTGGCCCAGATCATAAGACTAAGAGCCCATTTTCCAGATTTTCCGCTTAAGACTATACGTCTAGATAATGCCGGTGAATTCACGTCCCAAGCGTTTAATGACTACTGTATGTCCATGGGGGTAAGTGTGGAACATCCCGTGACACATGTACATACACAGAATGGATTAGCGGAATCCTTCATTAAACGAATTCAATTGATAGCTCGACCATTACTCATGAGGTCGAAGCTTCCAGTAGCCGCTTGGGGACACACTGTTTTACATGCATCAGAACTTATACGCATAAGGCCATCTAGTGAACATAGATATTCACCATCCCAATTACTCATGGGTCATGAGCCAGACATATCCCATCTAAAGACTTTCGGGTGTGCCGTATATGTACCGAATGCTCCACCACATAGAACAAAGATGGGACCTAAAAGGAGGATGGGAATATATGTTGGATTTGATTCTCCCACCATTATTAAGTATCTAGAGCCAACTACGGGTGATCTACTTAAGGCTAGATACGCGGATTGTCATTTTAATGAATCCGAATTTCCTACTATAGGTGGAGAGACGAACAAGCTGGTCAAAGAAATATCATGGAATCAAACATCCTTAAATTGGCAAGATCCTCGGACTCTGGCATGAGAATCAGAGGTCCATAAGATAATAAATTTGCAAAAGCTAGCTAATGAATTGCCAGATTCTTTTGATGACCCAAAGAGAGTTATATAAGCGTACATACCAGCTTGTAATGCACCAGTACGTATTGATGTTCACAAGGAACACAATCAAATTGCTACAGAGTCTAACACACGTAATAAACGTGGTAGACCAATAGGTTCCAAAGATAAAATCCTCGGAAATTAAAGAAAGGTGCAATAGGAACCGAGGTTATTAAGGAAACCATCCTAGACATAGAGATAAGGCCGGCCGGCTCTAAGGTACAGGTACCATATAATGTAGCTTGGGACGCCAAGCTGCAAAGTATTAAAGGTCCTGACTATAATAAATCTCAATCGATGATATCATGTCTGGAACATAATGGAACATATAAGAAATGTCGACATAAGATAATTTTGCGCACAAGGTAGCAACTGAAATAAATGAGGATCAGGAGCCCACGTCTATACTAGAGTGCACTCAAAGACTTGATTGATTAAAATGGTACAAGACCATAAAACGTGGAGCTAAGAATCATTAAAATGGTACAAGACCATAACCAGTAGGACACAAGTGGGTCTTTGTGAAGAAAAGAAATGAGAATAATAAAGCGTGAGATATAAGGCACGGCTTATAGCACAAGGATTCTCACAAAGACCGGGGATAGATTATGAAGAAACATACTCCCCTGTGGTGGATGCTAAGACATTTAAAATTTTGCTAAGTCTGGCTATATATATAAAAGAGAAAGACTTGATTTGCGGCTAATGGATGTAATGCCCGCATATTTATATAAGTCCACTGGATAATATATATGAGATTACCAGAGGGTATTGAGCTCAAAGATAAAGATAAGAAAGGGTCTCGGGACCAATACTGCATAAGGCTGAACAAATCGCTTTATGGACTGAAACAAAGTGGGCGCATGTGGTACAATAGATTAAGCGATTACCTAGTCAGAGAAGGTTATAAGAATGATCCCATCAGTCCATGTATCTTCATAAAGAAATTCACAAACAAAGGATTTGTGATAATAGCAGTATATGTGGATGACTTGAACATCCTTGGAACCTCTGGGGAAATCGCCCAAACAGTCGAATATCTAAAGAAAGAATTCGAGATGAAAGACCTAGGCAAGACAAAATTCTGTTTGGGATTGCAACTTGAGTACGTGAATAATGGAATCCTTGTGCATCAAAAGGCATATACTGAAAAAGTACTCAAGAGATTCAATATGGACCAGGCCCACCCATTGAGCAGCCCAATGGTGGTGAGAAGCCTCGGATTGGATAGTGATCCATTCGGTCCAAAGAAGGACGAGGAAGAAGTTCTCGGTCCTGAAGTGCCATACCTTCAGTGCCATAGGAGCGTTAATGTACTTGGCTAGCCACACTAGACCAGATATATGTTTTGCCGTGAACCTCCTTTGTCTAAATTTAGTTCATGATCAACCCAAAGGCACTAGAAAGGTTTGAAGGAAGGTTTGGTTAAATTTTAAATTCTATTCTTCCTATGTTTGTTTATTTGGGTTTTATTCTATACTGATCTAACCAAAGAAGGTCTAGTTTGCTTTGGTTT